TCTCCCCTCTCTCCTCTCCCCTCTCTGCCCTCTCCCTTCTCCCCCCTCTCCCCTCCTCCTCCCCCCAAGACAAAAGCTCCACTCGGCTATTTGACACACTGGGCTCCAGGAAGAGGTCCTGCTGTGAAAACAGCCACTTGCCCAGAGCCCCTTTAAGGACTAGGGCCTGTAGCTCTGTCAAGTGGCCACTGAAAGTCCTGAGCATTGGGCACAGGTTTGGGGTGGGGATAAGGTCGGGGAAGAGTATGACGAGGCCCCCATGTGGCCCACCGATTCCTCAGCACAGCCCCCACCCACGATGTCCCCACCCTCGGGAGCCAGCCGCCTGGAGCCAAGTATGATGTTGGATTCAATGCCAAACTTCCCAGCTCTGGGGTTTTGCCAGGCACCCAGAACACCTGGCCCAAAAGATTGTTTTCAAGAGCATTTCCTGGGCTCCTCAAAGCCTCTGGGGTCCCTCCAGGAAACGAGCCCCCACTCTTGAGCAGCTGGGGGGCAGTGACAACTGTGACACTATTTCTGCCACCATGGAGACTCAGGGCTTCCAGCAGCAGCAGAAGGGCAGGGCCTGGGCTGCAGCTGCATCTCAGAGCAGCAGGATCCTCTGGAGTCAGCTTCCCCGGCAAAGGCCTTTTGTGGTATCAGGGGAATGGGGAAGGCTGTGAGCCAGGGGACGGTCTTTTTTATAGGCTGGAAGCCACAGGTATGAGGTTCCCTGGGAAGCCGTCCTGGTGGAGGGTCGGGGCCATGTCCTAGGATGTCCAAGCTGCCCAGCAGCCTGCCCTTGCTTCTCAGTGTAGGGGCTGAGGCTGGGCATGGACAATACCTGCTGGGGTGACGTAGCCTGGCGCTGCCAAGCCAGGGCCCTCCTTGGCTCTCGGAAGCCCCCACCCATCAGCCCCGTGTGGATTTCATGCCTGCTCAGCCACGAACCAGCTGTGACCTTGGGCAAGGCCCACCATGTTCTGAGCCTCCCTTTCTCCACCTGACTGGGGACAAACAGCAATGCCCACATCCTGGGGGGTCTTGAGCAGGGTTGGGCCTGCACAGTACCCACCCAACCGGTGTTGGCTGCTGCTGGTGTCCAAGAGCCCAGACGGCGCCCTCTTCATGGGCCTGGGCTGCCTGGGTCTGCTGTTCCCTCTCAGAGCTTCCGGGGGTGCTGGCTGAACCCCTCCTGCCATGGGGAACCTCTTCCTGTGCTGTATCACTCACTGTTTGTGGCAAAACGCAAGCACCTTCGTCAGCTCTAAGAACCTGGTGACCGAGGTCACTGAGTCTTCCCATTTGGACATGTGCGCCGAGCCGGAGCAGCTTCCTGCCCAGGGGATCACCACAGGGAAGGTTCGGTGGCTACAGGGGAGGGCCCCAGTCAAGCAGGACCATGACCTGGGGCAGGTGTGGCCCACGGAGAGGCAGGTGGCCACGATCACCTCCATCACTTCCAGTGGCCGGGCTTGGCATCCCATCCACAGACATCCCTGTGGGCCCGATGTGGAGCTGTCCGAGCAGGTGGACTGTATGCCTGTGGGCTGAGGACACTGGAGGGGACTAATGTCCCCTAGAGAGACAGACAGATGGAGGCCTCTGTCTGCCGCACACGCTGAGTGTGCGCTCAGCCCAAGGCCTGGACACGTCCACATCTACTTCCCACCAGCCTCTGACGCAGGCACTCGGTAGATGGTGGATTTCAGAAAATAAACTCAGGGACGGCTTTGTCCTTAAGCCTCAGCTTGGTTTTACGAATAGCGATAGGGGTTGTTGTTCTTAATACTGAACTCCCCAGCCCCAGCCTCGAGAGACCCGCAGGGACAGTTTGTCCCCTGGGGACCCCGATGAGAGGCACAGGTAGAGCAGCCCAGGCTCTTCCCCTAAAGCCCAGCCCCAAGTGTAGTTCATGCAGGAGGAAGCTGGGTGGGGAACAGCTCTGCCCAGGGACCTCGTGTGGCCCCTGGGGCTCAGAGACACCTGGGAAACGTGGGGGACCCTGGGGGAGCCATGCAGGAGCGGCTGTGGATCCCAGGCCTTGCTCTGATTGGGCGCCGAGCAGGCTTGGAGGCGGAGCCTGAGCCAGGTCGCAACGAGACTTTATTGGAGACAGGAAAATACACAATGCCAAGTGCACACGGGCCGACTGGTGCCCGGTGCACACCATGCTTTGTTCATAGAAAGCTGTGCTGGCCCTCAAGCTCCCTCCCCAGCCCCAGTGCACCCCACTTCCTGTCCCACACCCAGCCAGCCTTGTGTGGACAGTCAGGGGCAGCAGGAGGCCAGCATGGCCAGCCTCAGGTCAGAGCCACAACCCCCAAAATCCCACCCAGGTCCCACCTCAGCCCTCTGGTTATTGAGTCTCGCCAGCTCTTCGGCCCACTTGGAGTTTGGGGACAGCCCTCTCCCTGTGAGCAGACGAAGAAACTGAGGCCTTAGAGAGGTCCTGGCCGCTTGGGCCAAGGTCTAGTGATCTTTGTTCTGGGTTCAGCGCATCCACTAATGTCTCTTCCTGCCAGCATGTCGCATCTCAGATTCCACAGGACAGAGATCTGCAGCTGACGTGGGCCTTGCTCACGTCCCTGTCCCTCCATGTCAGCAGACATGGCACCCCTCTTCCTCCCTCCGCTCCTGGCATAGCAGATGCAGCTGGCAGTTCCTGCCGACACTCCTCACTAATGCTCCGGATCCTGGGTGACAAGGCCCCCAGCTTGCACGGCTCCAGCTCCCACCAGGCCAGCCAGAGGCCCGTGTGGGGAGGGGGTGATTGGCGGCGGGGGTGGGAGGGACCAGGAAGAGGCGGGCACTGTTGCTTCCACCACGACAAACGTGAAAGCTATTTACGTGCAGCCGCAGAGGGAAAGTGCAATTTGAAACTGCTCACAGCTCTGTCATCTCCCGCTAACTGTGCGGAGGCCATCAGGGTGGGAACCCAGGTGCGTCCATTCTCTGACGCTCAAGTGGCCAGCTGGGCAGCCTCTAGGTTAACTCAGAGGTGGGGGCGGGGGGCAAGGCCTGAGGCCGCTGGCTGATTCCACACAACCTGCCTGTGCTTGTGAACAGGACCCGTCAGAAGTTGCGGGAGGCGGGGGGCGGGGCGGTAAGTACACTGCCTCAAGATCCCAGTGTAGAGACCCCTCCCCTGGCTGGTTCCTCTCCTCATCAAAGGAGGAAAGAATGAGGCAGGGTGGATCAGGTGACATGGGATGGCAGGGACCCAGGCACCCCACCATCAACCCATCAAATTGGGCTCCGTGAGTCAGGGTCCGGCTACAGTGACTATAGTCCCAGGTGACCCTATGTGCATGTCTGTCTTAGGTGGATCTGCCCCTCTCCACTGGCTGTGCCAGCACCCCCTGCCTCTGTGGTCACCCCCATCTGACATCGCAGCGTGGGCCCAGGTCTGCCTCGCTCGCGGCAGCCTCCTGGGGTGTACAGGGGCCGCCTGTGCTCAGCGCCAGCCTCTGAAGGGGTGCCCTTGGGAGGGGGGGATGCGCTGGCCTTGGCCATCCCCACCACGATCACCATGATGGGTTTGGCGCCCATTCAGCCAGCATTTGGTTCGGCCATGTCCCCCAGAGGTGCCAGGCCTGGGCTGGGAGCGGGGCTGGTGCCCTCAGGCAGGAAGAAATGGGTGTCTCTGGGCCAGCCAGACACTGACTCTGGGCCCCTGAAGGCCACCCTCGCCCGTCCCCCTGCCAGGCCCGAGCTGTGGCACGTCTGTTCATCTGCCGAGTCCTGGCAGGAGCCTCCTGACACGCACGCACATCTGTGAATCCATTAACATCACACTCACCAGGAATTTGTTTGAAGACAGATCAGAAAGCGCTTGGCACTTTCTAAACAGCGGTTGGCGCTCCTCGGCTGGCAGCAGAAGCCAGCTCCAGTCTGGGCTGAGGACTCGGTCCCACCCACACTCTGCTCCTTATCTGGGGGACCCAGTGGCCCAGGTGGGGTGGCTCTCTTGGTTTCTAGAAGGTGAGAAAGGGGGCCAGCAGGAGTCTTCCCTTTAAGTCACATGTGGTCGTCTTACATCTCTGCCCACCACTGCCCCCAGCCCTGCCTGCACCTGGGCTGCTCCCGTCACTGCCCTGGTCACTCTGGCTGTAACACCTGCTTCTTGGCTGTCTCTGCTTCAAGTTGAGTGCCAAGAGGGCAGAGACTCGGTCTTGTTCAACAGGCTCCGGGCCACAGCAGATGTCCGGCAAAGCTTTGCTGAACACTGACAATCAGGTAGAGCGAGAGGGAGGGGAGCGGCCAGGTCTCAGGGCAGGTCAGTGGCACTCCAGGCCTCTCCTGCTGCCCCCGGCCAACTCCGATTATTACTGAAGCACAGACTTTGGTGGGAGAGGAAGGGAGAGCTGAGCCCCACACTCTCCTGTGTGCCTGCCTTCAGGTGTCCTGTAAAGGTGCCTTCAGGTGTCCTGCCTGAGGAGGGGCCATTGGTGCTGCCCACCCTCTGGGCAGCAATTCAGGCTGACACTCCAGCCCTCTCAAAGCCCCACCCCACCCCATCAGGTCTCCATAGGCGGGAACTTGGAAAAACAGCTCTGTGCTAGGGTCTGGACAACAAATGCATCAGGGCTCCAAGGTTGTTGGGCAGCAGGTTAAAATCGGGAGTCCCAGCCCTGCCCTTCCCCCTAACCCCAGCAGGGGGCAGTCTGGGCAGATGGGGTAATAGCCATCTAACCCCTCCAGGTCCAGCCTCCACCCTCCCGGCCTGCTCCTAAGGGGCCTTAGGACTCTGGAGTCCCTGGAAATTGGTGGTGGGGGTAGTACAAGCTCACTGCCACCCAGGAAATCAAGACGTCCTCACTGGCTGAGCTCGGACAGTGGTGCAGCATCTGCACCCTCCTCCCACAAGCAGGAGACAGTGGTGGGGAGGGGCTCTGGCTGCCCCAGGAAACCATGAGGCAGGACGCAGCAGCCAAGGGCACTGGGGACCTCCCAGGCCAGTAGGGACATGGGGTGGATGGGTGGGGGACTCCAGGGAACCAGCCTTGGCCACCTTGGGGGAAGAGTCTCCACTGGCAGCTGAGCCTCACCGCCCTGGACAGCCCTCAGCACCAGCGGCTCTCCAGGGGCCTTGGGCGAGAGATGGGGTCTCCAGGAACCGTGGAAATGAGGGAGGGGCTGCTCTCAGATCTCAGAAAGCCCCAAACATTCCCTTTGTCTGTAGGAAGGGTTCCAGGGGCGCCGTCTGTCCTTCTCTGTGCCCCCATAACGCCGGGCGTTTGGATCGGCAAAGTGGAGGGGCTGCCGGGGGTGACTCCTGGCCAGGTGAAGACAGACAGCCCAGGACCCAAAGTCTCGGCAGGTAGAATTATGGGTCAAGTTTGCCCCGCCCCTCATCAGAGGCAAATTGAAGGGTGGAAACAGAGCGAAGGTGATGTGCGACATCGCCCGCCCAGGGGGCAGTGTCGGGGTTGGCCGGGCCCCGCGCCAAAGCAAGAGCGGGTCAGCCAGGTGCGGCAGGCAGGCAATCGAGCAGGAGAGGGGGCCCGGGGGTGGGAGAGGGGGCCC